AGCAGTATTCTTGATTTTCAAAGCCTGGAAGCAACGAACAGGAAGATGTATTTCCAAGGTCAGCAGTAAAAAATCTAAGACAAAACCAATAAAAATCAATTAAATATCAAAAATCCACTTCACACATGAAATATTGAAAGCAATTAAAAGTTCATTTACAATGGCACTCCAAGAATAAATACAGAAGAATAAATAACAATAATAATAATAAATGATACATAAAACTTATTTTCTAAACTGCAACACTTGTTGGAAAAACCTCAACATCCAAATAAAAGAGAAGCCATTCCATGCTCATGGAATTTTTCCTAAAGTCTTAAACTATGTCCAATGAATAAAATGATCCAACAGAAAAGATTTTTATAAAGTATATTTTACCTTATTTGGTTCTGAATAAATACATTTCACATTTAAGGAAAACCTGAGCTTCAAATTAAGTGAACAAAGTAAAGAAACAGAAAGGGCTGGTACTGAGGGAATACAGATGTGTCAGGCTCAAGGGGCAGGTAAGGTCCCTGCCAGCTGGACATCTCCCACCTGGTCCTGCTCACTGAAACACTCTATGATCACCCTCCCAGGAGACCTGGACCATGACTCCAGTCTATGAGGCTTTCAGGTTTGCACAGCACTGCACTGGAGTGGGTGGTCCTAATGCTCTGGGAGTTTTCCTCCTACACAACTGTTAGAGAATGCAAGGGCAGGAATCACTGCTGACCTGGCCCCTCAGCACCAGCATCCATAGGCTCACTGTCCACCTGTTGCCAAGGAATAGGAACAGGGCTTGGGAGAAACAATGTCCTAAGGAAGTAGCTCTCTAGATGAGGCCTGTTCCAGAAGATTCCTCAGCCCCAGGGTCTCCAGCTGTTCCCCTGATGGCTGCAACCCACACCTTAGGCTGTTCTCTGGGAGAAGCTGACCCAGGGCCTGAAATTGCCTGCACTATGCAAGGCACAGGGCAGGTGTGAGCACCTTGGGGCACCCTAGGAAACTACAGGACAGTGGTTGAGGATACAGAACCCAAAGCAAATTCTTACCCAAAGACAGTAAGGCATCAGTGCCTGGGGAAGACAAAGGAAGGCGGAGACAGAGGGTTTTTTGTTTTTTACTTTTTTTTTTTTTTTGATACTGGGGATTCAAATCAGGGACACTCAACCACTGAACCACACTCACAGCCCTATTTTGTATTTTATTTAGAGACAGAGTCTCACTAAGTTGCTTAGTGCCTTGTCATTGCTGAGGCTGGCTTGACCTCAAGATTCTCCTGCCTCAGCATCCTGAGAAGCTGGGATCACAGGCATATACCATTGTGCCCGGCCTACAGTGCTTTAACAGTGGAATTCCAAGTGACTGTTCTCTGCTATCCCATAATGGCAGATGTTCACAAACAGAAATCAAATCTTTTAAAAATTATCATCCATTACTCAGTGAAAAAATGATAATGCAGATACTGTGCCCACTTGAATGTAGTGAGAGAACTAAGAGTTGATAATGCTGAGAAGTGCACAGGGAGGTAGTGTCTGGAAATATGGTCTGCCTTCCCTGCACACTGAGGACCTAGGACTGTGGATCAAGCTACACAGAGAAGGTTCTGACAAAGTGGCTGCAGATCAGGCAGCACATTGGGAACCCACCTGCACCAGCCCACACCATGGCCTGAAGGCATCAAGGGCTGAGTTGTAGCAGCATCTGACTCAGGTCTGGCTTGGCTGACTCTGGAGCTAACAGTGGGAGGCCAGAGTCCAGCCACACAGATGGTTCCCACCAGTTCTAAACAGCCCACCTCCCTGAGCAGTCCTCAACCCACACTCACCATTTCCTGCCTTTTGGGGAGTCCTGACTTCTTTCCTATGGATCTCATAGCAGCTCCAGGTCACAGGGAGACAGATCTCAGCCAGAGCCACTTGGGCCTCACACAGCAGAGAAGACACAGTCCTGGAGATGGATTCTGAGCTGCATAGGATGAGAAAGGCCTGTGAGACTATGGAAGGTCACCCCCTCCCACCAGCTGCCTACTGCCTGCCCAGGGCTCCACAAGACCCCTGCAACATCCCAGGCCACATATGCACATTCTGAAGGCTATTAATGGCAAGGAGATGTATCAGACACCTGGATAAATGAGGCCAGAAGGACATGGTCTTGCCCACAGTCCTTTTCAGGCAGCGTTTCCTCCCTGCAAGGGGACATTTCCACTTAGGCAGGGCTGAGATAGCTCTCCACAGCAGGCTCTATTGTCTTCCTGCTCCTCTGAGCACACAGTCATAAGCATATGTGAAGAATTACAGCCTTGGTGTCTAAGGCAGCCGACCCTGACCTCAGAGAAGGTAGGTGCCAGGTCTGGCCAGACTGGAAAGGAGAGAGACAGGCATCCGTCACTTGGGAAAAGGCCGGGGCAGCATGGCCCAGGCTTCCTCACAATTTGATTCTGTCAAGCCATTTTCAGCAAAAGAAATTAAAAGACAACAAATAAATACAATTATTAAGTGCATGCAAAACTAGTTATATGACAATAAAAAGAATTTTTTTAAAAAAGGAAACACTTAAAGCAGCTCTGGTAAGGCGTCTGCTTCACCCACAGCTCAGAATGAAATCCCACTTGCAGAGAGAGGGGTAAACACAATCCCAAGTTAGGAGCCACACTCTGACTGCTTAAATGTGTCCCCAGGAGGACTCAATCCCCAGTGGCCAGGAGGAAACACCTAAAGATTTACTTCTGGGAGCCCAACATTCCTGCTGACCTATAGGTTTTCTGAACCTTTCTCTGTTCATAATTTGAACATCTGAACTTCCTACCATATCATCTTTGCTCTTATAGCACTCTGTATCTACCACATTTAGAACTGCCTAGTTTAGGTGAGTCCTGGCCCCTCCACTGAGGGTGGAGTCATTAGTACTGAGTTAGAGAGGTTGACACCTGCTGTTTGATCTGCACCTAGGGCACAGCCCTTTATGATTTTTGCTTTTGGCAACTGCTGACCCACTACTCTGTGTGGTAATTAGTGTTGTAGATGTCATAGAAGGTGACGGGTATTGACTGAAATACTGTATATTGTTTGCTTCTATCGTTGTTATTGTTTCCCCCTTTTATGTGCAGTGACAGGAGTCTACAGGGACAGCTGAACCTCACAGAGTCGAGACTCTGCTGCTAAGCTTCCCCATGACAGCCAAGAGAGCACCTGGCTCCACATCCAACTTGACCTTGTTCACACTTTAGCAATACAATGGATAGACCAGACAAAGTCCCCAAACTAACAACCAGGCCTTCAAGTAGGCATGGATGGGATGGGTTAGGTCCCACCCAGGGGCAGCCACTTCTGCAGCAGAAACAGAATTCACACAAGGACTATGAAGACCAAAGGTACAAAGGGTCTGAGTCGAGATCACTCCCTGCCTTTAGAATACACAGACCTGTGAATGAGGAGCCATCACAGGGCATGGGCCCCCCAAACCCTGCAGCTCACAGCACATCTGCCAGATACAAAGGAGAGTCCCACTCTTTTGAGACCTACAGGAAAAGAGGAATCCTTAAGATCTGATATAGTGCACACTAAATCAACAAACACTAATCATCACCAAAGAACTAGTAGGGAAGCCAAACCACAAAATCCTCACAGAAATATTGAAAGAGTAGACACTTTTGCAAGAGAAGACAGTCCTACAAAGATCACAGATAAGAGGGGAATAGAGGGCTGTAATTGTGGCTTAGTGGTACAGCACTTACCTAGCACGTGTGAGGCCCTGGGTTCGATCCTCAGCACCACATAAAAATAAATAACTAAAATAAAAATATTGTGTCCAACTGCAACCAAAACAAAAAAATATATATTTTTTTTTAAAAAGAGGGAAATAGAAATCCATCCTAACAGATACATAAACTCAACCCAGGAATACAAGAAATGTTAAAAGAGGAAAAAGGAAAAAAAAAAAAAAAGTAATTCCAGACATGGTGGGCATGCCTGCAATCCCAGTGACTGGGGAAACTGAGGCAGGAGGAACAAAACTTCAAAGTCAAAGTCAGCCTCAGCAACTTAGTGAGACCCAGGATCAAAATAAAAATGAAAAAAGACTGGGGGTGTGGCTCAGTGGTTGAAGGCCCCTGGGTGCAATCCCCAGTACCAAAAAAACAAAAACAAAAAAAACAAGCCTATACTATTCCCTACATCTTATCCTAATGGAATGACATTAGAAATCAACACCAAAACAAACAACAGGAAGCTGTTACATAGTTCACAGCTATGAGTGGCTATATAAGAAAGCCAAATAATTCCCAAATAAATAACCTAATGATGCAACCCAAGGCCCTCAAAAAACAAGAACAAACCAATTCCAAAACCAGTAGAAGGAAATCATAAGAGTTGAAATCAATGACAGAGGAAAAAAAATTGAAAGGATCAATGAAACAAAGAATTGGTTCTTTGAAATAGGAAGAAGAGGAAGCTTTTGACAAAATCTAGCACCCATTCATGACTAGAACACTGAAAAACTGGGGATGAAAGGAATTCACCTCAACATCATGAAGACCATGTACAACAAACCCCAATCCAACAGCACAGTGAATGGAGGAAAAACAGACAGCATTTCCTCTAACATCAGGAACAAGAACATTCACTCTCACACTCTTATACAATGATACTAGAAATTCTAGCCAAAACAATTTTGCAAAAGAAAAAATAAAAGGGACAAAAATAGGAAAGGAAGAAGTCACATTATCACTGTTTGTAAGTGATATGATCCTCACTGAGAAGATCCACGAAGTTCCACCAGAAGATTGCTAGAGCTAATAGATAATTTCAGCAGAGTAGGGGCTTACAAAATGAACATACAAAAGCACTGGCTTTTCTACACACCAACAATGAATCTCAGAGAAAGACGTCAGGAAAACAATCCCTTTCACAATAGGCCCTCACAAACAAACAAACAAAAAACTATGAATAATGTAACCAAGGAAGGAAAAGCCCTCAACAATGAAAATTACGGAACACTAAAGAAACACAGTATGGGGTGTGGAGGCTGTGGCCGTGTACTCTGCTGTTCTTCGTATCCTAGAGGATGGCTTTGGAGACTGTGCCCAAGGACCTACGGCATCTGCGTGCTTGTCTGCTGTGTTCGCTGGTCAAGACAATAGACCAGTTTGAATATGACGGTTGTGATAATTGTGATGCATACCTACAAATGAAGGGTAATCGAGAGATGGTATATGACTGCACCAGCTCTTCCTCTGATGGAATCATTGCAATGATGAGTCCAGAGGACAGCTGGGTCTCCAAGTGGCAGCGAGTCAGTAACTTCAAGCCAGGTGTATATGCAGTGTCTGTCACTGGTCGTCTGCCCCAAGGAATTGTGCGGGAGCTGAAAAGTCGAGGAGTGGCCTACAAATCCAGAGACACGCTATAAAGACCTAGCAAGATTCAGGCTGCCAGCATCTTTTCTGTCCACCTCCTTCCTCTGCTTATTTTTTGGTGTGGAACTAAACAGGCAGAACTTCAAATACTACTTGCCCTCCAACTCTGAGAATGAACAGACAATTGAGAGAGTAGCACATCCTGTCTCCACCATTTCACCTTGGGACTAGTGGTGGAGGTGGAGGGGTTGGGGCTGGAGGGTTCACAGAGACTGAATTGAGGCGAAAGGATGCTGGTATTCCTGCTCACGCCCTGGGCTGTGCTTTTGCCCATGGGCAGTACTTTGAGTTAAATTCCAATTAACATGAACCACTGGAAAATTCTTAAAACTATGACACATGGCTTGCCTCCCTCTCCCTTTCTTTCAGCTAGGCACAGTAAGGGCTCACTTGCCTGGTAAGCACCATCCAGCACAATAAAGGCTCTTCTGCTCTTGTCACTGTTTCTGGGCCTCCAGAAGTGCAGCCTTCCCAGCATACTTGCTTGAGTTTCATTGGAAGGTCTGCTGTTCTGTGGCACAATAACCCCTCAGTGTAGTCCCACTGTCTAGTGCTTATGTCTTGCCCTCTAGACCTGTCAAATCAGTCTCTTGAAATCTTGAGGCTTAATGTTCTTTGCTCCTTGACTTTGTTTAATACTGCTTCTTTTCCTTCTTTGTCTCTTTATATTTACTGATCTACCTATACCTTTGGCTAGTCTCATCGTCATTTTACATTCCCCTCTCTGGAGACCTTCCAGCCTCAGGTGGCTGCTGGGTCTTGTCTGGGAGTTTGTGCCTCTGTGGGAAGTTGGCCTTTCCTTCTCTAACCTGGTAAGGGTGCTTTGGGTAACTACAAGGGCCAAGGTGAATTACCTGTTTTAAAATAAAAAAATTACCATAAACTCATTTATTTAAGTTTCCACAGAAATCCTATTAGTATCCCCATTTTGATTTAAGTTCATCCATAAAGTGACTTAAGTGATTATACTCTGTTTACTTCAAGATTCTTGTGATCAGAAATGAAGCGATGTGCTAGGCATGGTGGCGCATGTTATAATGAGGCAGGAGGATCACAGGTTCAAAGTCAGCCTCAGCAACTTAGGTTGTAAGCTACCTAGTGAGACCCTGTCTCAAAATGAAAAATAAAAGGCTAGGCATGTGGCCCAATGGTTAGGCACACTTCGGTTCAACCTCTGGAACCAAAAAAAAAGATCAAACAGTGTAAAAATTCTAGAATATAAATCTTACAAAAAGCAAAAAAAAAAAAAAAAAAAAAGAAACACAGTATGGGACACTTTTGAAGAAGACACAAGAAGATGAAAAGACCTCCTGTGTTCATGGATAGGTACAACAATTAATATCATTAAAATGGCCATACTACCAAAAGCTCTATACAGATTCAGTGCAATCCCAATCAAAATACTAAATAAGTTAGTAAAACTGCATGGTACTGGCATAAAAACAGACACATGAACCAATGGTACAGAACAGAAGACAGAGATAAGCCCACTTATCTGATGCTTGACAAGGAGATCAAACATGCATTGGAGAAAAGACAGCCTCTTTAACCAATGGTGCTGGGGAAATTGGTTACACATAAGTAGAAGAATAGAACTAGACCCTTATCTCCCCTCCTGCAGGAAAGTCAACTGCAAATAGATCAAAGGCCTAGGAATCAGACCAGAAGCTATACAACTCCCAGAAGAAAATGTAGGAGCACACCTGTAATCCCAGCAGCTCGAGAGGCTGAGACGAGAGGATCACTAGTTCAAAGCCAGCCTCAGCAAAAGTGAGACACTAAGCAACTCAGTGAGACCCTGACTCTAAATAACATACAAAATAGGGCTGGGGATGTGGCTCAGTGGTTGAGTGTCCCTGAGTTCAATCCCTAGTACCAAAAGAAAGAAAGAAAGGAAAATATAGGGTCCAGCGTACAGAGCAGCGGTGGGCATGATGTGGGAGCCCCAGTGAGGACTTGCAATGCCAGGAGACAGGACAGTGGCTGGGGACACGGCATCCTGTATAGTTCCAAAAGAAACCTCCTCTCAAACACACGGATACAGTGTTTGTGGGAAGATAAAAGAGGCATGAGTACTTTTTTTCTTCTTTTTTGGGGGGAGGTACCAGGGATTGAACCCAGGAGTGCTAAACCAGTAAGCCACATCCCCAGCTATTTTTTTTATTTTTTATTTTGAGACAAGGTCTCACTGAGTTGCTTAGGGCCTCGCTAACTTACTGAGGTTGTCTTGAAACTCGCAATCCTTCTGCCTCAGCCTCTCGAGCTGCTGGGGTTACCACCAGCATGTACCACCATGACCAGCATAAGTACTTAAACAATATATATTAATGTTTCCTTCATAATTTCTGTCTTCCTTCCTTTTGTTAGAAATACAAGGGTGTCAAAAGGATCAGAAGTGCCCTAGAAGTAGCTGGGCAAGGCAAACTTTATTTCTGCAGCAGGGCAGGCTACTGAGCTGAACCAAGTCTGGCAAGCAGGCACACCTGGGTGGGCAGTCCACCTGTTTTTATCCCTAATACAAAACTGTTCCTTGCTCAGAGAGGAGGAGCTCAGGTCACAATCCACACATTGGCTGATTTTAAAATGGAGAGGGAAAAGGGAAGGGCCATAGTTATGACTGATCACTTAGGATATTAAAGCATTATGAATTGAAGACTGAGGACAAAGGGGGATTAAAAAGGGATTATAGCTGGGGTTGTGACCAGATCCAGGGTCTGCATTTTTGGCCACATATGGACACATGCTGTACATGTTGGGGAGCTCACAATGGCTACACTTTAACCATAAGGTTTTGTGGTTTTATAACTGAAATTGGCTCCACCAAAAGAAACTCAGACTACAGGTTTAACTTTTCTCTCTCCCCCGCCCCCCCACTTTTTTTTTGGTGGCACTGGGGATTGAACGTATGCATGCTAGAGAAGTACTCTACCACTAAGCTACAGCCACAGTCCTACAGTTTTAACTCTGACAGAAAAGAGAACATTAAGGACCAGGGTTGTAGCTCAGTTGGTATAGCACTTGCCTAGCACGAGTGAGGCTCTGTTCAATCCTCAGCAGCACATAAAAAAATAAATAAATAAATTAGGTTATTGTGTCTATGTATAACTAAAAAAAAAAAGTTAAAAAAAAACATTAATATTATACTTCCCTCCATTCTTCCTTTTTATTTTCATAAGTACTTTTGAAGTTAAATTCCAGGTCATTCTTGTCTTTCCACTCACAGGAAATGTTCACCCACACTTAAATGAAAGGAAACTCTACCACTACTCAAGCTCCACAAATACTTCAAGTCAAATTGGCAATACATTCTATTCAAAGTCATTTTTAAATTTTACTTTTAGTTGTGGATGTTCACAATACCTTTCTTTTGTTTATTTAGGATTTGTATGTGGTGCTGAGGATTGAACCCAGTGCCTCATACATGCTAGGCAAGCGCTCTACTACTGAGCCACAATCCCAGCCCCCAAAGCCAGTTTTGAAGGAAGATAGAAATGTTTGTTTCTATTTTTCATCTTCAGATAATTAAGTGACAGAAAAACTTACATAAGAGAAAAGGCAGCAAAGTGAGAAAGAATATGCAACACACACATGCAGATTTACTTACCTGTGCTAGAGAGAGCCCAAGTCAGTGACACTCAGCACATGGAGGAGGAGCAGCCCTGTCAGGCCCAAGGGAAGTTCAGAGGCAGAGCAACCTGGAAGATGCAGGAGTCACCCTCAATTTCAGCCTGTTTCAGGAACTGGAATATAAGGAGGAGGAGTCAAGTACCGAATGGAGACCCTGCTTCCTGCACAGCCGTGTGAACAGCTAAATTCACAACTCCTGGGAGAAATGAGGGACAGGACTCCACATGCCTCTAATGATTCACACCAGAATCCCAACTGAGTCCACATTCCCTGACACCTTCCTGTCAGGAAGCTCATCACACACCCTGGGAAACCTGGGCTGTGGGAGGTGAGCTGGCCCAGGACTGAAATCCACTGCAGCCTGCAGAAGGCAGAGCAGCTGGAGGTACCTTGTGGAAGCTCCAGGAAGGGCTGCCACCCAACCCAGAAGACAGGCAGAGGCTGAGGACACAACACCCTGTCAAGTTCCCAAGGAACACTTTACCCAAGGACACCAATGAGGGGTCGGTGTCTAGAGAAGCAAAGCCCACTCCTTCCTCTTGTAGCAGGGGTCCACTTCCTACTTTGACATAACCCTCCCACTCTTTCACTGCAGCTTTTTAAAAACCTTACCTTTTTCCCTCTTTATCCTCTCCCCTCCATAACCTCGTTCTGCCCATCCTAGGCCATGTCACTTCTCATTCAGTACACACCACAGGGCTTCAAGGAGGACACCAAAAGAACTAAGAAACAGCCATCGCCCACGTCTACAAGAGAATTATGACCCAACAGGGAACACCTTGAATGTACCCTTTGAAGCACCTCTTATAAAAGTCCTACCCCCCAGTGGACAGAACCACAGCCTCTGCAACAGGAGCCCCTGTGTTTCTCCTACAAAACCATAAACTTCTTTTCCCTTTTTCTCAAAATCATGTCCTCATTACTAGACTGGTTTTAGGGACAGGCAGCACCAAGCCTTTCATAACAAATTGGCACCCAACATGGGGTCCAAGAGTGGCCCCTACTCCAGCTGCAGCACCTTTCCTGGGCAGGTCTGGTGCCCTGGGCAACCCCCTTGGTGCTGAGGATGCAAGGTGGCTGCTGAGCTTGTTGAGAACAGACCACTGGAGAATTAGGCGATGGGGAGAGTTTGCCTTGGGCAGAACCAGAGGAGCTTTTCCTGTAAGTAAAGGGAGGGACTGAGGGACCATCTCAGCACTGATGTGCTCCTTCTCCTAAGGGGACACCACCTTCTCTCCCTAAAATGGATGGGTTCTTCCATCAATTGGTCTACTTTGAGGAAGCACAACAAAGTCTTGACATTTGGTTATCTGGAAAGCCTCACTGGTATGCAACCCCAACCCTAATCCTCACACCTGATCCCCCTTTGTGGACACCACTGTGGCACTGCTGGTGTAGGAGTCATGAGTAAGCGTGAGTAGGAAACAGGGAACTTTCCCCCTAGCTGGTCCCTTTCAAAGGCTCCCATCTGTTGGCCATGGTTGTGGGGACCCCCCCTCATTGTCTTATATTCTATTACAGGCCATTTTAAGACGTGGGCAAGGCTGGGCTGTTCCCAGTAGTAGTCTCTTGGGAAAGATCTTGGCTGAAAAGGCAATCTATAGGTGCAAGACTATGAAAAAGATGATGTTTTACTGGAACAATCTGGCCTTAGAAAGCTGTTCTGTCTCTTAGGGATGAGAAAGGATAAGAATTATTTCTGAATATTAGAAAATCTTGCAGTTGGAGTGGGTCCATCAGAGGTGATGTAAGTGGAAAAGATTCCGTATGTGCAGGCATCCATGCAGCTGCATAACAAGGAGTCTGAACAGTCAGAGACTCATTTGACACTGCCTCTGGTGTGCAAGGACAGCAGGACACCAGGAAGATCTAAGTCCTTTCCGCTCAGTGCTGGCAGTCCCTATTTTCAGCCCAAGGCAACCGCAGGTCATCCTCCTGTGGCCCAGGGACCTTAACCCTGGCTGAAGCCCAGGAAACCTGCCTGGGCTGTAGAAAAATGGGCAAGGAGAATCTGACATCTGCCCTGCCTTCCAGCCCCTTCTTCCATTGGTGGGAAAGGGTGGTCTGCAGAGGTTGTGGCCAACAAGGATGTAGCAGTGGACTCCAGCACTGCTAGATGATGACCTGAGGACAGGAATGGTCTCCCTTTTCAAGATAAGAAAAGACTCCATCTGGCCAAGGGAAACCCATCACTGGGGCAGAGGAATTCTTGCTATGACAATATCCTATCAACCTAAATTCAGGAGGGGGACACTGGCAG